TTAGGTAGTATTTTAATAAAGAGGGCCCAAATCGTTTACAGACAGGAGAAATTGCTTATAGTAGACAAGAGGAAAATCTTGTAGTAGAGCAGTGTTTTAGGGACAGGGAAGTCAGTCTGTCCAGATTAAGGATTTCATGCTGGGGCTTAGCTACTCCTAAAGGACGAGGCCAGGGTTCTTTTCATCTGGATAATATAAAGCTGAGCTTGTGCCACAGGCAGGTCAAGCCCAACCTGGGCGAGGAGTCAGGGGAGACTTTCTAGAGGGAGTAGTTCTAATCCTAGTCCAGAATAAATTGAAATAAGGGGTGGGAGGTGGGTAGGTGGAGATGGGTGAAAGTGTTTCAAGCACAGTAAGCAAAATATGCAAAGTCATGGGAATTAGTACAGCCTAGTGGTTAAGAGCGAGGCTGCCTGAGCTCAGATCAGTTTTTATGAAAAGAGTAAATTCCTACCTAATGTCAACAAACTTTTATAATCACTGGGTCAATAAAAATTTGGAGTAATACAGACCGTCATCAGCAATCCTGGTAGGCCAAGCATCAGAGTCAGGCAGATCCCGTCAGATATGACCACCAAATCAGTTGATTAAGTCCTAATATATATTGAATATTGTATTAGGCTACGCAGAGGCTGAAAAATTATACAATCCAATCCAAAAGGTAACACAAGGGTGTGTTTTTGTTCATCTTCACAGGTGCTAGAATTTAGAATACATACAGACCACCATGAGTCATGTGTGCAGGTGTCCTTCACCAAATATTAATATTAATTGGCAAATGAATTAGAACTTTAACAGTCTTTGAAAAAGTTTCCTGGTGAACAGTGAAAAGCACAGCGGCTGAAATATCTTAGGAACTTGTTGGTCTTTCATCTTTTATTGGTGGTACAGAATTAGGATAATCATTTGACCTCTCTGAGCTTACGAATCCTTAGCTGTAAATTAAAGGGGTTGAAATAACAAGAGTCCTACGGCCCCTTTATCTTTTATCTCTAAAAAAGTGCCTCCCACACAATAAAGTATTAATTTTCACAACACACCGATTCTGGAAGTCCTCTCAGATGTCTAACATTCTAATTTCCCGATCACGTCAAGAAAGGTCGCCCTGAGCGCGCTCGGGTCCAGACATTCCGGTCCGGAAAGGTCCACAGTCGGC